CCCCTCCCCCTTCCCTCCCCTTCCCTTACCCTCCCTTTCCTTCCTTTCTTCCTCCTTCCCTTTTTCTTTCCTTTATTTGTGAAAGGGTCTCACTCTGTAACCTAGGCTAACTGGGAACTCACTATGTATTCCAGGTTTGCCTTGAACTCATAGCAATCCTCCTGCCTCAGCCACTCGGGTGCTGGAATTGCATGTGTGAGTCATCATGCCCACCGAGTTTTGTTATGTGTGTTTTGCTGTACATTGAAGGTCAAGGTTCAGGACCACTACAAGCTCCTCCACGGGAAGGGTTGGTATAGTTGGTTGCTGAAATGCTAGTGGGGGCGGAGTATGGACACCTCACCCACAGAGTGCTGTCCGCATAACCTGAGCCCTAAGTGCAGATGCACTCAGGGTGTTGGCAGGGACTGTAAATGAGTCTGAAGCATCAGCTGGGTGTGGTGGTACAGGCCTTTGATTCAAGCACTTGGGAGGCAGAGGCAGGCAGATCTTTGTGAGACTGAGGTCAGCCTGGTCTATATAGCAAATTCCAGGCCAGCTGGGGCTACAGAGAGACGCTGTCTCAAAAAGACAAAAAATAAAATAAAATAAAACAAAACGAGTGAAACACCATCAAGTAAGACCTCAGAGAATGGTGGTATGAGGCAAACTGAAGAGGCATCACCATGTGCAGGGGAAGCTGGGTGCTCAGCTCTGCCTGATCCTGGTGGGGGATAGGAGTCAGTGCTACCAGATTGTTCGTTTGTTGTTTGTTTGTTTGTTTGAGACAGGGTCTCCCTGTAGTCCTAGCTGGCCTGGAACTTGCTACACAGACCAAGCTACCCTCAATCTCACAAAGATTCATCTGCCCCTGCCTCCTGAGGACTGGGATTAACATTGTACACCACCGTGTCCAGCTAGACTTTCCCTTTTTTGAGACAGGGTCTCCTGTAGTCCAGGCTGGCCTGGAACTTCCTATGTAGCCAATTGAGGATGACCTTGAATTCCTAATCCTCCTGCCTCTACCTCCAAGTATACTAGCACACCATGTTTATGCAGTGCTGGAGATGGAACCCAGGATTTCATGGATGCCAGGCAAGCACTCTACCAACTGAATGATATTTCCAGCCCCAAGACTCCATGATATGAGGGAAGTTGAGAACCAAACCTGGATTTTTATGTAATCTCTTTTATTTTAAATGTTGGCGAAATAATTCAAGCAAAACATTGCAGTCAAATAGAATATTTGTCTCCGAGACCTCTCAGCATGTGTCCTTTACTTAGATAATAAGATGTATTTCCTGAGACCTCACTCCTGTTGCCACTAATTCCTCTCAGGTTTTCACTCCTGTGTGGACTCAGAAGGCACAAGGTTGTACCCCACAACAGAAGGGAGAGTTAGGATGAGCAGTTATATAATTCGTACAGATGAGTGTCAATGGGGCAAAGCCTGACATGGTGGTACTCAGCAAAATGTCACCACAGGCCTATGAGCTTAGGTGCATTGGAAAATGATTTGCAAACCAAGTTGTGGTGGTTTTTCCTAATGCCCTGGGGCCTGTCTTAGTGTCTAAGGAGAATGTCTTCAGGGACTCCTCACTGAAGCCGGGAGGGGCTGAGGTGGTCAGGTGCAGTGCAGTTGATGGTTGGTGGCTTTATCCTTGGGAAGATGGGACATGGGGAAGGTCCTCTTCACTGCTTGGGGAATATGTTCCCCTTTACGTCCCTCAGTGAGTCAGCACCTTTCCAGGCCTGCAAAGTCTGCATTTTTGCTGGCCCTTTGTGTAGGTCGTAGAAAACTGTCAGCTTGCATGTAGTTCATTTGGTAGAGAGCTTGCTCAGCATGCACAAAACCCTGGGTTTGATCCTTAGCCCTGAATAAACTGATTTGGTGGTACATGCTTGTAATCCTAGCACTTGGGAGGTGGAGGCAGGAGGATCAGGACTCGAAGGTCATCTTTGGCAACATAGCCAGTTTGAGGCCAGCCTGGGCTACATGAGACCATGTCTTAAAAAAAAAAAAAAGCCAGGGAGATGGCTCAGGGGGAAAACTGCTTGTTCTGCAAACCTGACGTCCTGAGGTGGTTCTCTGGAACCCACATAAGGTGGAAGGAGAGAACGGACTCCATGAAGTTGTCCTGAGACTCCACACTTGCACCGTGACAGGCACATGCGAGTGATATTAAATTTAAAAAAGGAAAATGTTGACTTTGGAAGCACAGTGGTTTCACACAAGAAGCAAGGCTACATTGTCACCCACAGCACAGGTGTGTCTGACTCTGTCCCAGAGCAGCTTCCTGCCTGCGGGTATGAGGCTACCCTGCTGGTCCCGCAGCCAGGGAGAGGCTGGGGAGGGGCATCGCGGGAAGAGGGGCTGTGACTTCTTCATTGGCGCAGATGGTCAGCAGCAGCTCCGGAGGACCAGCAGCCGGTCTCTTCTAGCCATGTGTCTGTCTTTGGCTGTGGTTCTTGACTCAGGTCTGGCCCAGAGCAACTTGAACTAGAATCCAGAGGAGCAGATTCAGTCATCAGAATAAGCTGTTTTTACATCTCCTACTTCCTAAAACTTAAAAGTACCAATTACTACCTGGATGCTCTTCCATTAAAGAGTGGAACAGTGCGGAAAAATTGGACATCATTCTTGATAATTCAGATTTTCTTTCTTTTTGTAAAAAATATTTGGTTTAAAGATTTACTGAATTTTTGCATGTATATGTGCATGTGTCTCTGTGTGTCTGTGTGATGCATGTGCACATACATGGTTTTATACATGGAGGCCAGAAGAGGGTGTCCCTGGGGGCTGGGGTTTCAGGTGTCTGTGGGATGCCTGACTTGTTACTTGGGTGCAGGGATTCAAATTCCAGCCCTTGTGATTGTGCAGCAAGCGCTCCTAACTGCTGAGTCACGTCTCCAGTCCCCAGTCAGAATTTCTATTGTGCTTCTTTGCTTTTTGTTTGTTTACTTTTTGAGAGAGGGTCTCCTGTAGTCCAGACTGGCCTTGAACTTGCGTGTACCCGCGGATGACCTTGATCTCCTGCTCCTCTCGCCTCCACCTCCTGAGTGCTCAAATTTCATGTATTTGGGATGAAACCCAGGGCTTCGTGCATGCTAGGCAATCACTCTACCAACTGAGCCACACCCCAGCCCCTCTGCTGTGCTTTTTTGTGGCAATTCCAGATGATGGTGTGCTATCTTGCACAAAATCCTGCCACTGGACACTTGTGGCCTCCTAGCTCATAACTGAGTGCAGAGAAGAGCTAGTGTCTCTGTAGATGGATGTGAGAGAGAACCAGGCCTGCCAGCCTCTCCCAATCCCGACCGCTGATGTCCCTGCTGCGGAGGCTGTGGGAGGTGCCAGGTTTGTTAAGGCCTCTGGCTGTCCTGGGAGACTGAAGCTTGTGAACTCTAAATTCAGCTCTTCCTCCTTCCTTCCTTCCCTCCACCCCTCCCTCCACCTCTTTGACTCCTAGGTACTTTGTGCTGAAGATTTCTGCAGGGATTGAATATCCAGGTGAGATCAGGTGGCCCCTGGCCTTCTGCCTCTTCCTGGCTTGGGTGATTGTGTACGCATCTCTGGCAAAAGGAATCAAGACATCCGGCAAAGTAAGAACTTAGATTTTTCTAAGTCAGAAAATTCTCCCTCTTCCTCTCCTTCCTCTCTTGTCTCCCCTCACCCTTCCTTCTCCTCCTCCTCCTCC